CCCCAAAACCCCAAAACCCCAAAACCCCATAAGATCAAATTCAACTGTCAGAGTTCATAAAATTAGAAAGACAAATGATTAGCTTAAGTGTGTTTGAATAAATTTAATTTTATACTATTTAATTAAGTTTCAGTTTTAGATTTTCACTGCCATCCATCCTCGTCATCCTCTTCTTAGACCACTCCAAAATTATTATTCCCATAACCACCTCCTATCAAGCCATTGACACCATTTGAAACACATTGTTACTACTAGATTTGATTTTGATTTTGCATGAGTTATTTACTCTTCTCTTGTATTTACATTAATTTGTAAGCATATTTTTCAAGTTCTTTTTTCAGTTGCTCAATCACCATCTCATTCATTTCATTTCTCTTTTTATAGGACTCCAACTCCTTATGAACCTCATTATCTTTATCCTGCTAGAATGACATATTGAATCCTTATATGCTGTTTTACCTCTTATTAAATTAGAAGTCTTTCATTTCACGAATTTCTTCATCTCTAGAGTCTAGCAAATTCTTGAGCTCTCTTATTTGTATCTATTGGTTCTCTTTTTCCTTAGTTATGTCCTCAACTTTAAACTAGAACATCTTCATTTGTTTGATATAGTCTATACATGAATTGCAGCTATTTGCTTCTTCTGCTTACTTTTTGAGTAGTAAATTTTCTTTGCTAAGCTTTTCAAGTTATTTCTTGAGTAAACAGATATGCTCGTCTTACTTTGATCCTTGGTTTCCTCTATCAGTCAACTAAAACTCTAAATTAGAATTCTACTCTTATAGGGCTTTAACTTGCTTTAAAATTTTGTCTCTTTCCTATTTGCAGTGAAAGTAGTCTCTCTCTAATTCTTAAACTCTATCTGTGAGCTCTTCATTAGCTTAGCTCTCAGATTAAAGCATATTCTCATATTTTTTGATTTTCTTTTACAAATTCTGAAGATTAATATCGTTTGTCTGTGAAGTTGTGTCTGTTTATATCTCTTAGGAATTTTATTTGGGTTGAATGCATTAAGTTGAAGTGTCTGTCAGTTATTTAAATATTGGGTATCCATTAACTCTACTATTAGAGAATTAAGAATCTAATTGGCTGTTCTGCTAATTCTTGAAATAGGGAGAATCCATCATCATCATATTCCTAACAATATCACTGTTACTGTTTTAATGCCCATGATGAATGCTAGTTCTTGATTAAGATCTTTTTCTTTATGGAGTACTGTTTGTCTATTCCCATTTAGTTGAAAGTTAGAGATCAGTATTTTTCTTTTTCTCATCTCCAAGGCACATGTTTAGTCTAATAATCTCTGCATCTTTCTCATTAATAGAAATCTGCATGTCATCAAGGCTCTTCTACATTTCCTTCATTCTTCTAACTAAATCATTTGATAGCTCCTTAAATCCTTCAAATTCACTAGGTCCATTGATATTAGTTGAGGAGCAAGATCTTTCCGATAAATGACTCACTGAAGATGATTAAGTCATCAGCTTATTTGTAGATTGCTATTTATTTATTTGTAAAGGAGGGTATGATAGCTTTTCTTAGGATTACATATTCCTTTGCAACAAACATTTTTCAACAATCTCTGAAATCTTTTCTTCTAAATCTCTAGTTTGGAGCTGAGGATAGTGAGCTGACGTCTCTTACTATGAAAAATATGGGAGTGAAAACTGTGAACAGGAACTTGTTATACTCTACTAATTGGTCAGAAGGGGATTAAATTGAGGCTGCTAGATGCTTTGAGTTAAATTATTTTGCCCATTATTAGGTAAATTTTGCTAAGGCATGAGAATATTTTAGTTAGAGGCTTGATTTGATTAATAGTACAAACCAGGAATCTGTTGGATTGGTTGTTGGAAATTTTGAGATTAATTTATTTGAGATTAGACATGATTGAAGATAATCTAGTCTGTGAAATTCTAGTTAACCTATGCAATATCAGACTTCTTGGCCACCCCAGTATTAAGATTGTTACTTTATGAGAGTTAAGCCTTGGATTTATCAATAGCCAGTTGTATTATATCATCCAAAGACATTCTATTTTAGGCTTCCTACATTGGCATTAATTCAATCTGATTAAGATAGTTCTCATCGTTTAAACTTTTAATATGATGATTGTTCCTCATTTCAGCTACCTTGTTCTATTTGACCTGATAGTTATGAAGATTAGTTTAGCTTTGATTTCCAGTTGATAGCCTATGCTTTGAATTATTCCTATTAACTTCCTTCTACCCGCTTCTCAAACTTTTGTTCGATTTTTATGTCGATAGCTACAAGACTGAACTAGTTATGTTATCTTGCTACTATTCTTAATAAGATTTCTAGGCACTCAGATCAAGCTAAGATTTGCTAATTTTGATTTCACTTCTCTTATTCTTTTCCTTGCTATTTGATCTGAATGGATTATTAACTTTCAATACCAAAACATCATGACTCTCCTAATTCTAATGTTTACTCTATGTCTTTATGTTTGGAATGATCTTTGGTGAATAGCGCATATTTTGTTCATTTTCATGATTCCTTTAAGTGAGTACTGATTTCTATTCATTCATGCTCTGTCTTTATTCATTGTGAAATGAATTCCTCTGCCCATTAGGCCTAGATTACCTATGAGAGTTTAGATTTGCCAAGCTTCTTCTTGGGTCATTTTCTAAAGTTTGTTTATTCTAACAAAAAATTACAATTCTCTTTTGCCTCTTGCATTTGATTGGCAAGTTGTTAAAGGTTAATATATTGACTAGGAAGGTTTGAGTTACTCTTATTGAGATATTACTAAGAGGATTAGCTGCTTAGCCTGCTCTAAGAATTTCTTTAGTTGTTAGCCATCATAGTCTACTAAAAATTCTGTAAATTTAATTTTGAATTTAACAACTATTTTATTCGCAATTTATATACAGACTATCGGGGTTTTGGGGTTTTGGGG